AAATCATGTCCTGTTCTCAGTAAAGCTGAGATCAGACATTGAGGAAGAGAGGATTCCTGAATGTGAGGATGAGCCAGTCTTGCTAAAAGAATCGTTCTGATACTGGTCATGTGATTTGTATTAATTCTGATTTTTCAAGCTTTCTCTATGTTACAGGTCTCTGTTGAAGGGATCCTTGTAATGGGTGCATTTTCTCTCTTCTTCACACCATCCATCTTCTTCTAGATCCTCTTCTTACAGATTCATGTGGAATTAAGCCTTGAGAAGGATTTAATAGCTTGAAACTGTGAACTGTTATAAATCTATTGAAACTCAAAAAGTAAGCTTGTCTGACTTTAATATGGTTTAGAGACTTCTGAGAAGAAACTTCTCAATCCCCATAAAGGTTGTTTTTGTTAATAAAAAATACAGTGCATAGTGGCAAAAAGTCTAACCTGGACTTTAGCAGAAATCTTCTTCTGAAATAGCCAACATACCTGGAGTTGAGTCAGTCTTTGCTCTTACAAAACCTGTAAATAGGGGCAGAGATCTTAAATGTCTTTTCGTATCACATGGGAGATTGTCCCTCATGGATTTCAATACTCCAGATCCTGGAGATAAATGTTTGCATTTTCATGCTTTGTGGTGATAGTCTTAATTGGAGTCTATTGGCAAGTAAATAACATCTTGAATCTACAACTCAACAATCTACAACTCAAAGATGTGTAGCTGGTGATAAAACCAGGAATGAAATACCCTGCCTAGTCTATATTGAGCCTAGCAATTGCCAGGACTTTAATGGGAATACAGAAAGACTTTTCCAAAGAGTCCACAAGGACTGACGTTCTATAGATGTGCATTGCACATAGATGTAGTTCATGAAATGTAAGCCCATTGATCTTTTTGAAAATCTGACTAACGGAAACCACATTAGTAGTAATTGTACATACAAACTTTAACGGGGGTTGATCAGATATGGAATTGTTGAGTCATCATGACGTCATGATGATGTCACAGGGTGGGTCATCAAGGTGTCGCCCGCGGGCGCCCTGGGCATGTGGCCGAGCGGAAGTCACGTGAGCGGAAGTCACTGGGGGTGTGTGGGGGGAGGATCATCAAGTCGGTGCCTGCGAGCGCCTTGCGGCCAGCAGGGCTAACCAGACCTGGAAGGTCTGCATAACGGGGCGTGCCACCACTGCCCCCTGGAAGCGTCACGCCGGAATGGCTGCGTGACTTGTGCGCCGCCTGCGGTGGGGGTAGCCGAACCCGGAAGGGGCTGGATAATGAAAGCGCCGTCGCCGCCACCGCCCCGGATGCCCTCACGCCCACACGTGTTCAAATGTAACTGGGATATTTACCAGGGGCTTTCTTTATCACAGAGTTGGAAAATGAGCAATGGGGGAACCACACAGGAATGCCATAAGGTGGGATGTCCAGATGTTAGTAGATTCAGAAGAAGAACCGGAGCCATGTAGAAGTGAAGCCTCCCGTAGGATACTAGAAGGTAAAATATATAGTGTGTTACCCCAGCCGTAGATAACATTAGAATCTAAGGATGATTTTACTGAAGCGTGGCTTTCCCCCTTTTTTTTAACCCAGTAGCCCAATGCAAAAGCCCTACAATGTCCGGAGGGGCTCTTGCCACAACCCCTGCCAAGAGTGATGGCTGTACAGATGCATCTATGACAGAACAACAACAACAACAACAGGGGTCAGACTCTGCAAACTCGTAGAATGTGAATAATGAGCACCTGGAGATGATACAGGCATGGGAGAGGCCTATCAGAGATTTCAGAGCTGTGGAATTTTACCAGCGTTATAGATTTATTAACCTTGATCGCATCCGAGCATTTGTGGATGTGATAGATATTATTCATAATGCTGTGCAGAATATTTTGAATAATGTTTCTAGGGATATAGAGCCAAATGATTTTGTCCAGCTCTGTTTGGATGCAGAGGGGCTTAACAGGCCTCTCTTTTCTCTGAGGAGACATGTATCAGGTTTAAATGCGGATGATTTCCTAAGCCATATCGAAAGCATGCTGCAGAGTAATGCTGAAGTGCTGTGGGGAGGCGATTTACAACTAGTGGTCACCATTGTGAAAAACAAGGAGGGGGGCGGGCTTAGGAAGTTAAGCACTGTACTTTTCTCCAGAGTGCTGGAGAAAAAAAGACGCCACCTGGTTGATTTCAATGTGGAAGGCGAGTTTCTGTGTTTTGCCAGCTGCTTGCTATGGTTGCTAAATAGGGAGGACCTTACAAAGCAAGAAATCATAACTAGAGCCAGGGTTCTTCACAACAGGCTGGGTATTTCCACAGAAAAGAGGGTAGACTTTTCACAGATACACCTCTTTGAAGAACATCTGAGCATAACCGTAAAGATTTTGTTTTATAGTCAGGGCGGGTGGCGCTTTTTTGTCACCGGCAGATCGCAACAAGAAAAACTAGTGTTTATATTGTTATATAACAAACATTACTACACCGTCAAAAACATCAAGGGCTTCCTGGGGGCCCGCTATTTCTGTGAATACTGCCACATGGTCTACCATCACCAATTTAGACACGGGTGCCAATACCTCTGCTGGGCATGCCTGAAGAATGACTGTCAGGTGGCGGCCTTGGAAAAGGCAAGATGTAGTAAGTGCAAAGTGTCTTGCCGCTCTCAGGAGTCTTGAAAGACACGCAGAATTGATAACAGAGGGAAAAGTTAGGTGTGAGAACAAGGCATATTGTGATGGTTGTGGTTTCTATGTTGTTATCCCACACAATACCTGCAAGAAAAAAAAGTGTGGCCAGTGCTCTGAACGGGTTGAAAGTCTGGAAGGCCATTTATGTTTTATGAAGCCGTTGTCAGACCCCCAAATAGGCACACGGTACATTGTTTATGATTTCAAATGCTGTCAAGAGATAGGGGAACATATACCAAATTATGTGTATGCCATGGATATGTTGGAGGATGATGATGATGATGATGAAGATGTCATGAGATGGAGTAGTTACGGTATAAAATGTCTGGAGATGTTTGTGAAGGAATTTGTAAATGATAAGTTT